ATTCACACGACAATAATATTAAAATTAAAATTAATTTTTATAATTTTTTATGTAAATTAATTATAACAAATATATTTTTTATACTATTAACCTATCTTTTTAGAGTATAAATTAAACAAACTCAAAAAAAAAAAGAGATAAACAGTAATTCATAAAAAAGTGGCAAACAGTAGCAATAAAAAATTGAAGGACATTGATTATGTAACTCAAATAAACAAACCAAGAAATCTAAGAATATTCCATTGGGGATTCAGACAGGCTTTTAAGTTAATCAGGAAGTCGGAATCAAGCTTCCCTCCCCAATTAGTGCAATTACCTTCGCTCTTCTTCATCAATAATTATTTTATTTTCAAATTAATATTATAATAGTAGCTTTTGTTCTCTTTTGGAACAATTGTAATTTTTAGGGCCTAAGGGATAAGGGTATGGAGAATGGAACTTATCAACTCAATTAAACAATCTCAACATTTAAGACTCAAAATGGGTGCACTCTTTTTGATACATTAGATAATATGAATCATACACTAAAAAATAATCTTCCCCTTTTTGTAATCCCACTTAACCTATGTCAAATTTAAACTAAAATTTTTAACTTAAAATATAAAGTTTTTAAACACTTGAGGCACCCTTCTAAGAAAAAAAAAAACAAACGAAGGTGCACTTTCATTAAAGGGGTTGGATGCCTCATAATCAAGGCTGCAATCTCCCTAAGCCAGAGCTGAAGTCAAAGGAGCGAGTCGTTTGTTTCTAGTTTGGGTCATAGCTTTTATTTCGGCCCAAACTCTCAGTTGGATCAAGCCGTGGTGTGGGTTCCCAAACTGTTTGGCAGATTTTCAGAGAGGATCCGAGCTCGTTGCATCAGAAACTGGGAACTGCATTAGAAACTGGGAGCTGCGACAAAGCATAAGAACCAGAAAAAGTTACGAGGAAAAATTTGTTTGGTTTCGATTCACATATTAGAGTCTCCATGTCAAGGCCTAAAGATGTCATGCCTACGCCTGAATCTGGTTATACAAGCCTTGGCCTTGGAGGAAGCCATTTCCGGTCCCAGCTTTTGATGCCCACTTCTCAACCTCAACCACGGCGGAGGAAGGAGACCTCTACTCTAATTTGTTAAGAAAATGCGCCAAAGCCTCAAACTTGCGCCATGGAACAGCCATTCATGCTAACTTTATTAAAGGGTCGGTTTCAACTTCCCTTTATCTCCACAATCACATACTAAATATGTATGTCAAATGCGGGGACCTTGTCGACGCTCAGAAACTGTTCGATGAAATGCCCCACAGGAATGTTGTCACTTGGTCTGGCATCATAGCTGGTTTCATCCAACAGGGATTTCATAATGAAGCTCTCGCTTTGTTCTGCTGTATGTTTCGTGATGGAATGGTGAAACCCAACGAGTTCACGTTGGTTAGTGCGCTTCATGCATGCTCGTTGCATCAGGATTTGGCTCTCAGCTATCAACTTTATGGGCTCCTTGTTCGCTTAGGATTTGAATCGAATATATTCTTGATAAATGCGTTTTTAACAGCCTTGATAAGGCATGGTAAATTGTTGGGGGCTTTAGAGGTTTTCGAGAAGAGCTCCAACAAGGACATTGTGTCTTGGAATGCTGTGATTGCTGGCTGTTTGCAGCATTCTTACTTCAATGTACCAGGGTTTTGGCTTCGCTTGAATTATGAAGGAGTGAAGCCTGACGGCTTCACGTTTGCTACTGTTCTTACTGGCTTGGCTGCTCTTTCTGATCTCAACTTGGGTTTGCAAGTGCATGCACAACTGATTAAATCTGGCCATGGGGATGAGAATTGCGTTGGGAATTCTTTCGTGGATATGTACATGAAGAATCAGAGACTGGCAGATGGTTTCAGAGCTTTCCAGGAAATGCCTCAAAGAGATGTGTCCTCTTGGACACAAATGGC